TTCGCTCTCACCCATACAAATTAGCTCCACCCAAAATGGAAACTCTCAGAAAAATCATTGACGAACTTCTGGAAAATGGTGTCATTGAACCTTCCCGTTCGAGCTACGCTAGTCCAGCTTTTCTCGTCCCAAAACCCAATGGCAAGTCCCGAATGGTTCTGGACTATCGCAAATTGAATGCGCAAATTGAAATCGACTCTGTGCCTCTCCCCGATTTGCATTCTGCGTTTGATTGGTTCGGTAAGGCCAAGTATTTTTCTGTTTTTGATCTGAATCAGGCCTATCATCAGATTCCTTTGAAACCTGAGTCTCGACCTCTCACTGCTTTCTGCGTTCCGTGGAATTTGTATCAGTTCACAAGAGTTCCGATGGGTCTTGCTGTGGGGGCCCAGACTCTCACCAGACTCCTTGATTCCATCTTTCATGATGTCAAGTTCAAGTTTGTGTTCAATTACCTCGACGATCTCTTGGTGTACAGTGAGAGCTTCGAAGATCACCTGATTCATCTTGAAGAAGTCATGAGTAGATTGAATAGGGCTGGCCTTACCGTGAATCCTGACAAGGTTAGTTTTGCAAAGCCGGAAATTTCGTTCCTTGGTCATCTTATCTCTCATAGAGGCGTCTGCATCGACCCCGCTAGAACCCAGGCTATCAGGGAGTTTCCTCCTCCCAGAGATGTCAAGGGTATTGCTAGGTTCATCGGCATGGTAGGTTTTTACCGACGCTTCATCCCCAATGTTGCTGAATTGGCGGCTCCTCTCAATGAGCTTCGGAAGAAGGGCGCCAAGTTTGTCTGGGGTGAAGCGCAGCAGACGTCTTTTGATCTTCTCAAGGAGGCTATCATGCAGCCCCCTGTTTTGGCGATGCCGGATTTCAATCAAAACTTTGTCTTGCAAACAGATGCTTCCTCCGTCGCTATTGCGGCTGTGTTGTCACAAGAGGTGGATGGTGTTAGGCAGCCAATTGCGTACGCCTCACGCACTTTGAGTCCCTGCGAAAAGAAAAGCTCTTCTGTGTATGAACTCGAGTGTTTGGCTGTCGTGTTTGGAGTCAATAAATTCAGACGCTTTTTGGAGCACAAGGAGTTTTTATTGGAAACCGACAACCAGGCACTCTCGTGGCTTCTTGCACATCCACGCCAGCTTGGGAAAATTGGTCGTTGGGTTGTCCAAATATCGTCCCTTAAGTTCCAAGTGCAACACGTTCGAGGCACTCAGAATGTGATTGCGGACACACTATCTAGGATGTACCATTCACCCGACGATCCTCCTTCTGACCAAGAGCAACCGGGTTGTGCCGTGCTCTTGGAGTTTCCACTCGCCTTTTCTGATTTCATTCCCCATCAGCTGAAGGATCCTGAGCTGGCAAAGATCATTGGTGAGCTTCAAAATGGGGGAGCCCACCCCCCATATTTTCTGTCCCAGGGTGCCCTTTGCTGTCGCGCTCGGCAGCGAGGTAAACCTAAAGTTGTGCTGCCTAGTCTTCTAATCCCTATGGTCTTTGAGTATTTTCATTCTTCTCCTGTGGGTGGGCATCTAGGTATCCACAAGACCATTGCGAAGGTTAGGGAAATGTTCATCTGGAAGGGTATGGATCGGGATCTTGCTGCTAGGGTGCGTTCTTGTCAAACGTGCTCACTGAGCAAGCCCGCTCAAAACTCTAAGTTTGGTTCGTTGTCATCTGAGGTGGCGGAAAGACCTTTGGAGAAGGTTTTCATTGACTATGTAGGGCCTCTCCCGCGTAGCAAGTCAGGAAATAAGTTCCTACTTGTTTGTGTGGATGCCTTCTCCAAGTTTTGTTGGCTTTTCCCCTTAAGGAATGCCACTGCTCAGCTCACCGTGCAGGTACTTCGAACACACCTCTTCCAACATTTTGGAATACCCGCCACCATTGTTTCCGACAACGGAACACGGTTTGTTTCCCATCTGTTCAAAAGAATGTGCTTTGGGCACGGAATCCGCCATGTGACTACTTCCCCTTACTATCCACAGCCTTCTCATGCTGAAAGGTTCAATCGCAATCTTCGTTCCGCTCTCATAGCTTTCCATGCTGACAAGCAGACCACCTGGGATCAGGAACTCCCTTGGCTTCAGTTTGCTTTCAATACTGCTCACCATGAGAGTCACAAGGCGGTCCCTTTCGAGCTGTTTCTAGGCTATCCGCCTAACAACCCGTTAGCGAATGTGTGGGGAATTGGCGACCTTCTGCCACCTCCTGGTGCGGCTGATGTCAAGGCAACTTGGCAAGCGGCCAGGAGAAACTTGATCAGAGCTAGGGAATTGGTCCGGAGGAAGCACAATCGTGGTAGAGTAGACAACCCTTTCCAGGTGGGGGATTTGGTGTTTTGTAAAGCTCATCCAGCCAGTTCGGCTGTGGACAAGAGAGCTGCAAAGTTGTGTCATCGGTGGTCAGGTCCCCACCGCATCCTGAGGTTTTTGACGCCTGTCACGGTGGAGCTTGGAGATCCGCGGACTGGAAAAGTGTTCCGGAGGGCGCACATTTCTCATCTCAAGCCCTTCCGCGGAACTCTTCCGTAGGCAATTTTCCTTCCTCTTGTGTCTGGGTGGGAAGTGCACTGGGCCAGAGAACCTGATCACTTCTCCTGTCCCCTGTGTTCTGCGAAGGAATTTCCCTCTCAAAATTTTCCAGCTCTGGCCAGAGCAAACCCTGGGGGTGAGTTTTCCCCTCAGTTTGGAAGTCCCTTGGCGTTCCCCACCACAGACACTTGAGTTGTCTTTCAGGTCAATCTCTTTTCAGGAAGTGGGGGAGAGGCTTGTTTGTTTGTCTCTTTTGGAGAGGAGTGTCCTCTTTTGGGGAGGGAGGTTGAGCCGTGACTATTTCCACCGGGCGAATGTCACGACTCATGATCAATGGTTCAAGTTTTTTTTATAGTAGGGTAGTTCAGTGTTTCGTTGTCACTCCACGGCCCCCCGAACAAGGCTGTGGGTTTTGTTCTTATTACTCTTTTTCCGCCAGCAACTCATAGGTTGTGTGGCGTTGCTCGACTCCGGGTCGGCTCATTTTGGTTATCCGATTTCATCTTTAAGTTCGTGGCATGGTTTTAATGTTAATTGCCCCTATTTGGTTCAAGAGGAGACAAATGTCGACCATGGAATAAATTTATCGCGCCACGCGCGCCTTTTGGGGCCCGTGAGGAGGAACATGTAGCAGCCGCATCAGCATTGACGGAGTGGATTCTACTACTCTTGGCCACCCCTGGATCATGGCCCCCCTCTTCCGTCATGCTCGTTTCCCCCTCCGGTGCTGCTTGCCCAGAACCATTGAACATGAGTCGTGACATTCGCCCGGTGGAAATAGTCACGGCTCAACCTCCCTCCCCAAAAGAGGACACTCCTCTCCAAAAGAGACAAACAAACAAGCCTCTCCCCCACTTCCTGAAAAGAGATTGACCTGAAAGACAACTCAAGTGTCTGTGGTGGGGAACGCCAAGGGACTTCCAAACTGAGGGGAAAACTCACCCCCAGGGTTTGCTCTGGCCAGAGCTGGAAAATTTTGAGAGGGAAATTCCTTCGCAGAACACAGGGGACAGGAGAAGTGATCAGGTTCTCTGGCCCAGTGCACTTCCCACCCAGACACAAGAGGAAGGAAAATTGCCTACGGAAGAGTTCCGCGGAAGGGCTTGAGATGAGAAATGTGCGCCCTCCGGAACACTTTTCCAGTCCGCGGATCTCCAAGCTCCGCCGTGACAGGCGTCAAAAACCTCAGGATGCGGTGGGGACCTGACCACCGATGACACAACTTTCGGGCGGAGGAGGAACATGTAGCAGCCGCATCAGCATTGACGGAGTGGATTCTACTACTCTTGGCCACCCCTGGATCATGGCCCCCCTCTTCCGTCATGCTCGTTTCCCCCTCCGGTGCTGCTTGCCCAGAACCATTGAACTGAATACGCCCTACCGCAAGTTACCCCCACTGTTGTTATGTTTTGATTTTATTTATAAAAAAGGCAACCCAAGAGACTATTTAAAAATTATTATTTGTTATAGGCCTATACATAGTTTATTAATTGTTATTCTTTTTAAATTTTAAATTCTTTAGCCTAGGCTACTTGTTGATTTTTTAGATTTTATAATTTTTTTACATATCCAATTAAATTTCTTTTTGGGGCCCCTAAATTTTCTATAGTTACCATGAAATGAATTTATTAAAAGAGTCATTAGATATTTCATTGTTGTAATTTGTTAATTTAAAGGTTAAAACTGATTAAATTTACTTTGACTGAAATTAGCCTATTTTGAATTTTTTTTAAATTAATGTTGTAAGTGAGTAGGTCAGAGTGGTATCAAAATTTTTTAAAGTTTTATTGAGAGTATTTAATTCATGTATTATTGTTAATTATTGTTGTGTTGTTCTTTTAAATGGTTAATTACAGCTCGTTTCTCTCAAATGGCGTGTTGTTCTTGAGCCTCCATCCATGGTTCTCATTTTGTTAAGTAAAGTTTTGTGAGCCGCTCCTCGGGCCTGCGCATGGATCACGCTTCCATTTCGTTAGTCTGGGGGCAGGCTCGAGGGCATGGTTCACCGGTATAACCTACTTAAACTATAAATAAAAACAATCCATCAAACAATCTAAAAACAATATAAAAATAATCAATCTTCTCTGTGGTGATACAATGTAAAAACAATCAATAATAGCGATCTTTAATAACAATCTATAAAAATAATCTATAAAACAATCTACCTTAGTTGTGAGGAGGAAATGCAAATCAAAGAGTGTTCTAAAACCTTTATTTATAGGACAGCACCATGAGTCAATCTGAGTCAATGCTGTACATACTGACACTGTACTATCTATATATTTTCAAGGCTGAAGAATGGATTTAGCCGCGATGAGTATTTGTCATCAATGTTTTTTATACATTCAATGTAGTATGCCTTATATACCAGTGGGATATTTCATAACCTGGTCATTTTGGTTTGGCTAAAAATTCAAATTGTGACACTGGCAGCCTGGTGATAAGTGTCAAAAGACCAAAGGTCTAATGATAAACAGAAGTCAAGCATGTTCAAACCTATTATTATTTTACAAGGGCAAAGTGTTTCATGTTTTCTCCTTTGATTTTGATTAAAAACCCCCCTTTTAAAATTAATTCTGTGGTTCGCCTTTCCGAAGGCATCCCTTCATTACTAAAACGGCTAAACTTCTAGTTTTGAAGTACTTATCTAGGTTAGCTTAAAATGACTTCTAGTGAAACTCCAAATTATGTTAGGAGGAGGGCTAAAAGTGTAACAAGGGCAGAAGAAATCAAAAGTTTTGAAGCTAAAAAAAGGAAGTCTCAACCAGATAAACCGTAAGTACTTTATGATTACTTAACAGCAAGAATAATCGTGAGTTACCTAACCTTGTTACAGGATTAGGCCTGTCTCAATATTTTTAATTTAGCCTAGGCCTACTTAGATTTGTCTGGTCCAACAATTTTTAAGTGTGCTAATTTTAACCTTAACCTCAGGCAAATTGCACATTTTGCAAAAACATTTTCACATTTATTACTTTTGCAATCTTAAGCCTAGGATATCTACCTATTCTCACACATCAGAAAAATTTGTAATGGATTTCAACACTTTCAACTTCTTGAGTTCCCCATATAACTTACGCTCTAAGTTAAAGTTGAGCTCTGTAGACAGTATATATAAACACATAATTTTACAACTTCTAAGATAGGCCTAGGGCCTAACCTTTACTTTTAAAATATAATTTAACTTACAACCACAAAGTGGTCCTAGGCCTAACTTGTTTGTAGCCTAACTTAAATTCATTTTTTACAAATTCTCCAAGATAATCACATTTAAGGTAGGCAAGAGACTGACAAATTCCAAATGAGTTTATTCATAAACCTTTTTTTCATTGCATGGCAAATATAAGTTAGGGTGGAGTGGGGTAAGTGTGACAGCGGGGTAAGTGTCATAGCCGGCCATCTTGTTTTTGGGAATGGTTGAAAAAAATTGGTTTTGTCATAGAAATGATGTTTGACATATAAGGTATCTAGTTAGGCCTACATAGTTTTTTATCAATTTAGTAACTAAGTACTGTATGTTGATTTTATCGGTTTTTATAAGTCCGACATTTTAGGTCAAAATCGAAGTTTGTTCGGAAATTTTGTTCAATTTGTAGTTATTTTAAATTTTGACCAATTTATATCAAACTCAGATTTTTAAAGAGCCTAAAAGCTAAACTTCTAGAAAAAAAATATTTAAAACGTGTACAAATTTATCATCTATACTTATTTAATACGCAAGGAGGATTTATGTGACAATTACTCCTCCGAAACTACTGAACCGATTGTCATGTTTTTGGTGTCATTGGAAAGAGCGTAGCGTGAAGTTGTGCAGGAAACTTTCTTTTTAGGGAAATAATGAGAGAGTGAGGCCCTGGAGCCCTTTAAAGTTTCGTATTTCTCCATAAGATTAACATTGGAAACAAAAATTGTTATGAAACTCCAGCTGTTGTCAGAAATCAAAAGTGAGAAAAAGAGCATAGGTTAGGGTAATCCTAAACAGTCAATAAGTTTGCTAATATAGTATTATAACAGTTTGCTACTAATATTTACTTAGCAATTGCTCGAATTCGAGCAACAGGGACACTAGTTAAATTTAAAACCACATGTCACACTTACCCCGGAAATTTTCAATGGCTGGGGCAAGTGTGACACTGACACCCGGGGCAAGTGTGATCTGATGTAATCTGATGTTAATCTGTGTGATCTGATGCAAGTTTTTACAAATTTCCGCAGATTTGTACGTCTTTATTTCATTTGTAAATATCTCAAAAAGTAAGAATGATAGGGACTTAAATCAAAATGTTCCTGAAAGAGCACTAACTGGGTATTTATCACAATTACCCCATTTACCATTAAAAGAGATACAGGATTTTATAGAGGCCGCTATCACACTTGCCCCGACCCCATGGGGCAAGTGTGACAGTTGGCAGGCATTTTTTGTAAGTAAAAAAATAGTGAAAGCATAAGTTTATCACATTGGTTTTTTTTTACCAATAAATATATTTCCAAAGTTTAAAAGTGTTAAAAATTTCAAGTTTCTAGCTTTAGAAATAACCGAGAAAAAAATTGTAAAGATGAACTTTATGATTATTAGGTCACACTTACCCCACTTCACCCTACTAGTAAATGCCCTAGTTCCCTACCACCTCCCTGCATGCTCACCAGTGAGTCATTATGACCATTCATTGAGATGCTAACTCAGCCAATGTCGTAATCTTTTTAAATGTTGTACTTACCAGGTTGAATAATCCAACATTAGTCTTTTGACAGTAGGCCTAATGTGTAGGCTTACCTCAGTAAGTACATAAATAAGGTTAGGCTACTGACCTGTCGTCTATCAATACTTTAGTTTCCAGTGGATAGGTACTAACTTATCTATATATAATTAATACGCCAACACAAAATTTGTCATTTGAACTCCTCCGCCATTTCTTAACCGATTGTAAACTATAGAAACATAGACAATTCATATAACCCCACCAAGTAGAAGAGGTATAAGTTAAGATGATGTTTTCTTAAAAATTTATTTATCATAATTAGCCTATATAATGAAGAACACCTACAAGATGAAGATGCCTACAAACGATGAACGAGGATGTTAGCCAAAGCGCTACCATTTTCAGTCGGAAACATAGATTAACTTTAAACTTATGTGATAATTGCAGAGGAAACCCCTCTAAGGCTAAATAAAACTGGTACCACGGGTATGATAGGTAGATGTTCTATACTATAGTATAGGTACCGTAGATTATAGTAAACCAAATTTTCTCAAAACGTGTCCTCTCTTATTGCAAATGCAAAGCACGAGTATTTAAATACAATAAGCATTGTATACCAACCCCGTACGAAGTACGGGTACTCAGCTAGTGTTTTGATAAAAGTCAAGTGATTTTAGAAGAATATGATGACATCCAAGAAACTTTTACTAAAACTTACATTGAAGGATTCAAATATTATTCACAGTTATGGGGGACCATTTGAACAACATCAGGCCTTTAAACTCTGCATTTTCTCACGTTAATTTTATTACAACAACTAACCAAAATAATGCCAATTGAAGCAAATCAAATTTTGACCGACAGCTTATGCAGGAAATCAGGCAGGCTTAAATAATGTGAACAAATTTTATTGCTATTAAAAAAATGCTGAAATTTTTAAGCATACTGGTGATACTGGTGAATAATGGTGGTACAGTACCATTCAGGATACATTATCAATGATGAATATTATATTTTACGTTATGGACGAATAATGTATGTTACTAATGCGGCTATGAGTAGGACACTTTGTAGAATAGGCCTACTTAAAAAAAACAAAATCAGCTTTTGAAAAATGATAAAATATTTACAAGAAATGTTGATTATTGAACTGGTATGGAAATTGTGAGTACTTCCATTAGTTAAATAATCTTTGAGTTGACACTTTTAAACTCATCGGAAATTATGACTGTTATTTTTTTTATTAACTCCTGTAATACTTTGCAATTGCTCAAATTCAAGCAACATGTACACTAGTTTGAATGATTTCAATAGGAGCAACAGGGATCTCCATGTGGCTTAATAAATTTGATAATTCAAACAAAATGTTGTGGTTAAAACCTAGCACTTTCTTGAATAACACAAATTTAGTGGCTTGGGCTGGCACTCCAGTGCGCTACCTACTGACTACTGACCAATAGGGCCGTGTTTGTTTAGAATCTATGTGGCTCTCGGTGGCTAGGAACAGTTCTATTTTCTTTCTTGGGTGGCTGGATGTTAGTGGGCTTGGAAATAATTGTTATAACTTTAATTTCTCCTGTGAGCAGAGACATCATGAATTTATCTTTTGTGGTTGCAGAGACTTCTTTGTCGTTTCCCGCAATCGCGGCATACTTGAGTTTTGATCGAGTTACTTTAATCTTTGCAGATGTTTTCAGCAATCACGAGAATAAATACTTTTCTCAAAAATCAATTTCCTTACAGGTTATCGGCGAAATTCATTTTTTAAGAATAAAATCCTTTGAGGACCTCTCATAGGCCGAGGTCCCCCGGCAACTGCCGTCTTTGCCGTTATGGATATATGTCCCTGGACACCACTCTATCTGTTGGTGGTAAAATTAGTGGCGTCAGCTCGAATGACAAGCCATTTAACTTCTTAAATAAAAGTAGCAATTATTTGAGATTTACACATTACACCTTCCATGTTTTTCTCAATCCTGGGAGCCTCAAAGCGACACCACTTTTATTACATCTATATGGACCAGCTGTCGCTCATCTCTGTAAAAAGATCATAGTTGTGTGAGCCAGTCACAGAATGTGCCAGTATCTAAAATTCTACTTTCTACCTTATTTTTTGTTCTGACAAATTTTAAGGGGCATAGCCTAACATTTGCTATAGGCCTAGCTCTCAATAAATTGTTTCATCAATTAGACTTGGTAAAACAGTTTGTGTAGGCTTATTTGACAGAAATTCGTAAGTTAGCTCAACACAATCTGTCGGTGGCTCACACCAACTGCGACGATTTTGATTAAAAACAGGTGTAAACTTTAACACTGGGATAAAAATGTCCAGTTGTATCATTAGTAAAAAAAATGTATTTTACATTATCTTTTGTTGTCTGATGAACTATCGGAATTGATATAATTACTTTTTTATGACTGTAAATAAAATATGTAGGCTAATGAATTGATTTTCTAACTTTACCTACTTATTGTTATAGGAGGCTATTATTTAAATGACAAAGTTTTTATGATTATGGGTGATTTGTTTTTTCCATATACCTATCTCGATTCTCCTTACTTATACAGTTTACCGATTTTGTCTAGACCTACTATATTTTATTGGTGATCAAACAATAAATATCAATAATGGATACTATGTTGATATTTTACAACTAACAATAGGCTATAGAGAATTTAACGAAAATGTCATACACTAATAAATTTAACATAGGCTTCATTAGTTAATTTAATTTAATTGTACTTGATAGATCCATGGGCAAATTACGATTGGTATTAATTTTAAGTAACCAATAGGCCAACTGTACAAGTTCTAGTATTCAGATACCCTTGTAACATTACAATATAACAGTAACACCAAAAATCTATAATCAGTTCTTAAGCTTATTTAAAAATACTGGTTTAAAAAAATGTATACTTGAGTAAGCCACTTTAATAACAAGGCTAACGATTTTCTTTTGTGCACAATTTTAACCCAGTCGGTTTAATAGTTTTTGTTTACGAAACAAAAACACAAGACCGATACACACAGAAACCACCTCCTCTTTATAATATAAGATGAAGCAGTTTCTCAGTGAAGGTTGATGAAGGTAAACTCGTTAGCAAATCTAGGTCAAACCATACTTTCCCTCCCAAGGCCATCTGGTTAGTTTGGATTTCATGTATAAACTAAAGATGGTCGATCAGAGTCTAAACTATTGCTGTATACTGGGTGACAAAAACATGTGTGCCAGCAATGCGTATACTTTACAAGAACGTGTCAAAGATAAATTTTAAATTCATTTTGACAAGTTTTCAAAACATAAGTGAAAAAAAAATCACTTTGAGGAATCTAAAATTTTTTTCTTCTAAATATTATAATCTTGTTGCTCCCTGACAACAATTTTGTAATTTTGTTGTTTGGCTGGTTCCCTTGTTTAAGTAGACAATTAACTTAACTTTTTGAACTCTTGGAGTCTTGTGATATAAGGAGTCACAGGTCAGAGAGAGATAAGAAATTTCCAGCATTGATACCAGTGATAGTTGTTGTCCTCAAGGGATATTGACTATTGTTGTGTGAAGTACTGACTGTTCAAATAATACTTTTGGTAATTTTAAACACTTCATTAATGGAATAATTTCGGTCAACTTCCATCTAAAAATATAATGTTTTCTATGTTTTACTGTCCAGTAGACTAAAATGCAGTTTAATTCCAGCCATTTAAAGTGTTATTGTGTCTTTTGTTAAAAAAAATCCTGACTCAATAGTTTGAATTCTAAACACAAATAACGTAAGCCGGCAAAGAGTACCTACTTAGCTTTACTGCACTATGAGAGAAATGTGTATTTTCAACAGATTAAAAACCTGTAATCGATAAAACTGTGGAAGCGAGTGATCATTTACCCGTAACTTTTTCCATTTCCTTGACTCACTTTTAAGATGTTTGATATCACAATTAAGTTTGATATCTTACCAAAAACTCAAATTATTATTTAAATACATTCATTAGATAAATCAGTTAACAAATTTTACCACCCAAATAACATATTAAACCAAAATGGACTCAGAGCCTACGAGACTCCCTAAATTTTTGGATTTGCCGGGGATTGAACCATTCAGCCCTAGGGACACAGACCACTGGGCTAGCAACACACGTGAAACAAATCTCAAATTATGTCTATGTTTGTATGTTAGATAAAAAAAGTGCCTCTCGTTATTATTATTTAAGTTACTGCATTTTTATATATCAACCGAACAGATCATTAAAACCTCTGACATTTTCTTGTATTTCTGAATTATTTTGTGCAATCAAATTAAAATAGTAGGCTATATGACAAACAATAAATGCACTTTATATTGAATAACGTATGATGAATGTTGCAGATGTCACAAGCCGAGAGATTCGCTGTTCACCTGGTCGTCGGGGTTCAGCAACTTCACAGGGTTCGTCAACTGGGGATTCCTCCTGCTGTTTATGGGAGGAGTCCGCCTGCTGTTGGAGAATCTAATCAAGTAATTGCTTTTCAATTGTCCTTTAAGTGTATCCGATGGAACACATCTAAGAGTGTGATGTGTTTGACAACTAACATCATTTTGGATCACTTCAAGGAGAAACAAATTTAACTCAACCTAAAACATTAGGCTAAGCTCATTTCAGTTTGCTGTTATCCGTTTTATATTTTTAAGTGTGCCAATTTTTTACATCTTGCGGAAATTTGATTGTAGTGTCATATTGATCGGCAAAAAATTTGTCTGCTTAGTGGCGCTGTCTAACATAAGAGTACTATTTTCTTGAAAAATTTAATTAGTTCTATCCATATTCTTGACTATCCAAATTGCTGCAGTCCAAAATTATCCATATAGTTGGAGCTCAACTGTACTAGAATAAATCCATTGTGCGGATTTTAAGTGAAATATCTATTCTATACATCCATAATATATGTTTTTGTATACATTAAAATAGGTAATATAAATTGTCAAGTACAGTATATATGTCATAATAAATTTTTTAGTGAAATGAAGATTTTTTTGTCATTTTAAATCTATTTGACTATTTTTGGTGCAGTTTGAAAAACTCGTTTTGATGTAGCCTACCTCAAACTGTTTTGTTACATGGCGAAGCAAATAAGGCGTATTTTAATCAAATGCAGATGGGTCCTCTTCTAAACTAACTATCAAAAAGAAATTTACTTCACTCAGGATTGAACCAGCACCCTTTAGATTGTAAGGCAAGCACTGTAACCACTCAGCTACCCTGCAATTTTCAGATGTGATATATTAGTAACTGTTGGAGTAGGTAATTTACACGTCTGTCGTACAAAAATGTTTAAATATACTTGGGTTCAGGTATGGCATCAGAGTTGACCCTGAGCAATGGTTCATCGTGCTTACTGGCCGTCAGGAGGGCGGCCCCGAACACCCTTCCATCATCCTTATCATTTGTAAGTAATAATTCTCCCAGCATTTTGTTGAATTAGTTACACCAATTTAAGTTTTAAATAATTTGTCAATCTGGTGTGTTTGTCAAACTGATTTATGCTTGAATAATTTCACAATCTGGTATCGATACTATTTTATTATTAAATAAACTTCTACTGTGTAAAATGTTTGTGTTTTTACCTATTACGGATTTATTCCACAAACAAATATCTGCACCATTTTATCTCCCTTAAGGGGCATGTTAATAGATTCATGACAAATTTCCACTGTGTCAAATTTCCATACATTTTATTTTATAGTAATAGATTTTAACTACCATTAAAGTTTTACAGCTAATTTCTTACTCTTGTAGGCATAAAACACATATCTTTATTTTCAGATTCCGTTGTGCCTGTTATTCTGTGCCTTTTAATTGAAAAGGGTTTGGCATCGGTAAGTAAACTAGCCTAATAACAAAACTAGTTAAACTAGAATTTAGTTGATGAACATTTGAACTACTGATGAAGGTAATGAAACCTATTTTGTCATGAAAGAAGTGCAGAGGCTACAAAATGGATTGTTATTCAAATACCAATCCAAGAGGAAACCCGAGAAATACATGGTTTGGAAGCAAACCCTTCTTTAGTTAATTTTCATACCTAACTCTTGAGATTCTCTTATTATCAATAATTATCATTACTAATCACAGTATGTACTACAAAGTATTTTCAAGGGAGAATCTTCAATACGACTATTGCTTAGACCTTTCCTTATATGAATATATTTCTTTATTGCTTTTCTGTATTCATACAGTATTATACTACTTGTTATTTACCTGTTTTACCACCAAACAGAATTTTAATGTAAACTATATGTATGCTTATGCTACAACTTGTATTTAGCAATAAGTAGAAGCATAGACAAGAAGAATTCAATATAGACCGTCAGCTGTGCTGTGGTTACCATAGGTTCTGGAGCACATCGCTTGGAATGCCTTGTAGTTACGGCGTACACGCTACATAACTACACGGCTTTCCCAGCGGTGTGCTCCAGAACCTATGGTAACCGCAGCACGGGTGACAATCTTATTTAATTCTTTTTGTCTATGGTAGAAGCAAATGCATGTTTTGCTTTTAGACCTCTCAATTCTGGAGAAAATGTGGTTTAGACTTTGTTTGCTCTTATCAATGTGTTTGTTTACATTTTTTATTTGATGCGCAGGAGGTGATTGCCGCAACCCCAGGTCTCATCGCTCATGTCATCAACCTAGCTGCTCTGGTACTCCTGCCTATGGTGGTCATCCATGTCAATGCTGGAGGCTTCAGTTTAGGTCAGTTCTGTGTTTAGAAGTACATTTGCATCCACAGTTTTACTGTGTTTGTAATGTATAGTAAATCTGACTACAATATCAGAACCTTTAATGTTTTTTTTTGTTTTTTTTTTCATTAAAGCAATTTTCTGTGTTTGTAGGTCTAATTATCTAAGTAAATGGTTTTGTTATGCTCCACAAGAAATAATAAATATTTTAAATTTTTTTAGATTAGTAAGTAGTGTTTGGAGTGATATTTACTGTATAGTGTATATATGTATCTTTTAAGATTTTAGCATCTCAAATACGGTATCAGTGGAAGATGGAAAGGTTTGAGCCCTGGTGCGCCCACACAAGTTTGAGAGCTTTTGACTGCGTTCCCTTAAAATAATTCAAAATACTATTGGACTAGGTACAAAAAAATTATTTTGGTTTGGTAAAAAGCTAAAAATTTATAAAACTGTATACTGTAAAGAAAGTTAGTAAACCCTACACAAGTTTCTACTGGAAAAATAAAATGTTAAAGAGTTCCTGACAGCTTTAATGATACTAGACAAAACCTTCAAACCCCCTTTCCTGTAAATGGTCAAACAGCTGTTGTGAGGTTAGGTACCTGCAAGGTAGACTTTAACATTGCCACCCTCCTTTCGGATAGTCTGCGACAGGTTTAATCAGTGAAAATGTTTATTCACCTGCTTATGCCATTGGATAGCCACTACAGCAATCAAGGATTACTTTATGCGGGTGTTCAAACTGATTTACATATAGTATGTAATTCACCGTCAATTTCTAGTGGGGGCGACAACAGTGTGTTCTCTATACTCCATCTTGTTCCTGAAGCTGTGGTCGTACGTACAAGTCAACCTGTGGTGTCGTCACACACTTCACTCCTCCGGCAAGTCTCAGCTGAGGAGGCAGAGTCTCTCCGCCAGGAGTAACCTTAGTGAGTACCTAAGAATTTTGTAAATTGCTGTAAAAGGGGCGTTTGGTCGCAGAACTAATAGACTTGTCTACTCATTGTTTTCTGGTTTTGATTTAAAGGTGTACAATCTGATCTTAGTTTGCCACTTAGGACTGTTGCACAAGTATGAGTCATTGCTGTCTCAAGTCAAATAACATCCGGTTACACATGGGATAAGATAACACCATTCACACCCAGACCCTGCTTTAAGGAAAGGTGAAAGGTGCAGTTAGCACACCTTGTGGGTGATAAATACAAAAAGATTAAAAGTTTATCAATTTTACTACAATTACTGTACAATAATTTAAAAATATGAATGGGAGAGTATAAATTACATTGATATTTTTGTTGGTTATTATTGTTGGGATACTAGTTTTTTGGTAGTAAGGGGCCCCACTTTGAATGTTTGAACTGGGCCCCGCACCACCCAAGGCTAGCTCAGTTCACACCCATATTATACACCTCAGTTGTACAGTAATAGATAAATTACTGGTTATTGTCACTTTTATAGTAGCATGGTAATAAAACAGTTGACAAATCATATAACGTATTGTCAGAAAGATGTATTTGCATTGCAACATTAGGAAACTAAAATAGTATGGTAAGTAAATTCTCAAAATTATGAAGATTTTAATAAGCCTACCCCTGCCGCAGAAAATCTGCAGAATAAGCAAATTTCTATTTGCCTGATTTGATTTTCACTTAAATCTATTTAAATAAAATAAGTTTTAATGAGTTTCAAAATAGTTTAGAGAGAAATTTGGAAATTTTATGTTTTGAGGGCACAAAATGGGAAAACCTAATTTGATGCCATAAAACCTCGTTTCCATGGATCATGCTGCAACGATCATGCTGGTTTGCGAACTTGTTCAAATAAACATAGGTTTACACATATTCATGATCAATGTTCAATGTATGTATTAGTAATCAAAGTTTTATCTTATAACAGATGTTCTTTGTTCTTGACAGATGCATATAATCACAACAATGACGAAGAAGACTTGGGAAGCATAAGTTTAGTCGAGTACCCAAATAATCTCAACTTGAAGGATCTTTTCTACTTCATTGCAGCACCCACGTTGTGCTATGAACTGAATTTCCCCAGAACAGACAGGATTAGAAAAAGGTAGGCCTATATAAATTATAAAAATATTTCAAAACACAAGTTTCTGTATGCAATTAAAACAAAAAAAAGCTAAATGAGTAAAATTCTAACTCTTTCATTTTTATGTAGAAGATTACGAACGCATTAACCTTAAACAATAATAAGTAACATTTTCCGTTTTAAACGATTACTAACATTGCATGGAAAGAATCACAGAATATCACACACATTTTAAATGTATATAGCCTACACAATGCTATGAGTTAACTCATTGTTACTAGCTAAATTTACTAGACTTTTATATTCAATTTTGAAAGTGTTTGCAAACCTCTGTATAATTTAATACCAATATTTTTAGCTCCTGGACTATCCCCAACATAACTCATTGTTCTCTGTGTTTATTTGTGTAATAGCACTACGGTAGTGTTTATTGGGGTTAGCTAGTAAGTCATTTGTTAGTTTAAAATCCAAGACAGTTTCTGATGTGATATGATGTGCAGATTTCTGCTCAAGAGACTGTTTGAAGTGGTGATGTTGTGCCAAGTGATGCTGTCGCTGTTCCAGCAATGGATCGTACCTTCTGTTAAACACTCTCTCATTCCGTTTTCTGTAAGTTGATCCCTTAGTTGAATGGGTTTGTTAAATTAAATACCCAAACTATTTACTTTTTATTTCAGAGCATGGTTTTTATTCGTTTAGTTTACTCTCATTGTATGGTAAACATTATTACACATTATAACAAATTGTTACTTTTAAACTACACTTCATAGTTACCGGTACATGATTAGCATTTTATGTTTTGACGCTTTTATACAAATAGGGTGTTTTTAACAGAATGCCAGGATTTTAAATGGTCGTTGCTCAGGGACAATCCAAGGGTAATGAAATTATTTAAACGTCAAATTAAAGGGAAAAAAACAAAGTTTTTTGTTTTTTTTTCTCACTCTTTGAGACAGTTTGGAATAATTTGATAAAATTCAGATTTTCATCAATCTTGTATGAGCGTAAAACTGGCAAAGTCAATACGCTTTGGGCGATCGGCGGGTTTATCTGATGTCTTAACTGAATCTTTTAGGCACAAAGACTCTTTCTTTTACAGATGACATCATTAAGTGACCAATTTAGGTTTGTTCAACTGAAGACTTTGTTGGGCAATCAATTTTTTCGGGCTTCTGATACAGAATTGTCGGATTTCTTCGACTATGTCATCGCTTGTTTCTAGCCGGCGAGTTGAATATCTTTTCAAAAGACTACGGTGCCACAAAACTCATTTAACCAGCTTCAAGTTTCTCTATCATCAAGTAGATTTAAATTTAGTTTAATTTAGCAATGGATATAAACTTTGCGAACCACAGATTACAATCTGTGCCTTCTGTTGCGCCGTAAACGTCGTACTCGCGAGTCGCGACTGGCATCAAGCATAAGAGTCACAATAGCAACCTACCACCACGCACCTGTTTTGCACATGCCAAGGTCAAAATTTCTTCCCTTGCTACACAGGAAACAAAACTTGGTTATTTTAGCTTCAATTTTATGTAGGCCTATAAAACGTTTAATTACCTTGACTAGTACAATGCTAGTACCCAAGCAATTATCATTTAAAATCCCGGCATTCTTTTAAAAACACCCTGTATATAAAAACTAGCTGTTACCCGCGGGCCGTTTGACTTCATAAGCATTAATAAAACTATTGATTGCAATACCGGTTTGGGTGGCATTTCGAGTGGCTTTTCATGGTTACTTCAAAGAACATCATTGGACTTAAAAAGCTGTCAGGGCAGAGTCCTAGGAGAGTATTATAAAAGATCACTATCACCATTAACCTGTGGTTATATTGGTCAGTCATTCAGTGAGGGCTTTGCATTTTATAGGTATAGAGAAGATTTATAATAATGGCAATAAATTTACATGAGTGACGCTTGTCATCAGTACCAATTGGATGAACTGGTTCTTATGTTATTGCTATGTAGTCTGAGATATTTCACACAAGGTTTTTATTTAGTTATGCAATAATGTAAAATAATATCTTCAAGTTAACAATAAATTTATTTGTCCACAGAATATGGATGTTGCCAAGGCCACCGAAAGACTTCTGAAACTTGCGGTAAGACTATAGTGTGTGTCTTCTAAGCTAGAGCCATTTTTTACGATTTAAAAGGGAATGGTACAAACCTTAAAAAAAGTTAACAAATGCATATAATAAACGATTAATTTTATAAAACTGTATCCGAGGTATGGACAGTTTTTCTAATTAGAATTTTACTCTAAAAATCGGATGGATCTAAACTCTAAAGTTCTTGTACCAATACAAGGACAGTAAATCTTTGCCCAAGAGACATATCTTGGTTCTAGATTATAGATAAACTTTCAGTTTAAGAGTCCTTGTAGGCTAGCGGGCAGCCATCTTGGATAATTTCAAACAGCCGCTGAAGGGTTATTTATTGACCAAAAAATTTTTTTCAAACACCAAAGTAATCATAATTTAAATATCTAGTATACTATTAGATTAGAAATGTTCTTTGTAGTTTTGAATTGTTCTCCAAGGGAGTCCATGGAAGCTAGCGGCCATCTTGGATTTGCCCACCATAAGAGCAATGTTAATTTCAAACAGCCGCTGAAGAGTTATTTATCATCTAAAAATATTTTTTCAAACACCAGAGTGATTGTAATTTAAATATCTAGTATACTGTGGGATTAGAAATTTTCTTTGTAGTTTTAATTGTTTAACGAGTTAGAACATCTAGGCTCCAAGGACTTCTAATGTGGGTTTCAAATACCTAAAGCTGAAAGCTATGTGAATGGTGAATGGTGGGATTTAAACCTAAATCACCTGAACAAAAGGTCTGTGCTTTAGACCAGTCACTCCTAATGTGAATTGAATATCACACAACTGCAAGGTTAATTTTTGATATTGCTTTTTAAGTTTTTTTTTTTTTAGCTGGCACTAATATAATTTTGTTTTACAATAATGCAAAAAATTATCAAACAAAACTTAAGGTACTCCTATAACTTTTTCAAATCCGCCAATGTAACATCTAGAGGAGCGAGCTGGTCTAGTGGTGGTAGAGGGTCGTGGGGCTTCGGTGCCCGAGGTCCCGGGTTCAAATCCCGCCAATCACCAATGGATTTTATCCATCTGATAATGCCCCAACCCTATAGGACTAACCTAAAAAGGAAAAAAAAAAAAAAAAAAAAAAAAAAAAAACAGTTCCGGGCTAGAGCTAGCGTCCTAGGATGTAAAGGTGGGACATGAAAAAATTTAACATCTAAAAATTGTTTGCAGATACCCAACCATCTCCTGTGGCTAATATTCTTCTACCTAATGTTCCACTCATTTCTAAACCTGGTAGGCGAGGTTTTACATTTTGCCGACCGCAACTTCTACAGTGACTGGTGGAACGCTAATAACATCGATGTGTTCTGGAGAAGCTGGAACACTCCAGTTCATCTTTGGGCCGTCAGGTTTGTTATTTGGTTCAAGAAGTATGTTGTTGATTTAATAACTTGTCATTTTATCTTGAGTCTTTGTTTTAGGTTGTAAATGGCAGAAACGATAACACTAAGATAATTTTAATTTACAGCAAATTAGTGTATAGGCAATTTCAAGAGGTTGTTTTTTTCATCTACTTAAATTGTGCCATTAAGGAAAAGCAAGTCCATGTATTTGTGACAAAGTGGGCTTCCTTAATATGATTATAGCACACAAAGTAGCTAATTGATTCATTCACTTACTTTTGCTGCACTCATTTTCTTTTGCTGCACTTATTATTTTGCCACACTCCAGTATTCCAACCAAACAACACACAACAGTGTACTTTAATGGGGCATGTAATATGTGTACGGTTGAAAATAAGTTGGCAACACTTAAAAATACTACAACTATGTTCAGTTGGTGCAGTTTTTCCCATTTCGTTCAAGCTTGGATTCAAACCTAACCTAAAAATGTGTTATATAGTGTTTGAAAGATTAATTATTTATATGATTTATAGTAACTGTAGGAAAAATATAATGTGTAACACGAGCACAAAGATATACCTCAAGAAACTTTCCACACTTGCCTGCGGCACGTGCGTAAACATTTCCCTCATGTGCAGCACACTAGTTACACAAATTTGATCAATTTGCTTATTTTTATTGCTATGAATTCAGTAATTCACCACATGTTATTATATGTTACATTTGCAGACATTTGTATCTTCCTATGGTCGGCCTGGGATACAGCAAGAACATTGCCAGCATCATGGTGTTTTTTACAAGTGCTTTCTTCCATGAATACTTGGTCAGCGTACCTTTGAGGACTTTCAAAATCTGGGCCTTTCTAGGAATGATGGCACAGGTAGGATGTAATAGAGTTTAGTAGTCTACAATTAATTCTGAGTTAGAACACATTTTAAAGATGGGATGTAGGTACCAAATAATGACTGAAATGTTTAGATTTAGTTTTAGCTTGGGCAGTAAAAAAACTATTGAATACAGTACAATTCCTTGATCTAACTACTAAATTAGATTTTATAAATAAAACTATATTTGTAATTTACATTGAGACTGTGGCAGTTAAAGTATTTATGTTATCTATGTTGATTTGAAATGAAAACACAAATAAATTAAATTTTGATTCTGTGTGAATACAAATAGTAATCATACCCTAAAAAGTAAAATCAAAATCGTAGTATGAGTTTTGTCAAGAAATGAGAATCTCCTTTAAAATTAAACTCATTGAAATTAATTTAAACAAAAGAACATGGAGTGGTATCAGGAAATCTTGGTTTTACATGATCAATGGTTTTGAACCTGTTCATTATACAGTTTAATACTACTATTGGAGCTTCTTGATCACTCTATATAAAAGTTACGGTGGTAACTTAGTTAGTTATATAGGTAAAGTATTGCTTTTTGTCAACATTTTTGAGTTTGAGGGGTGGATATCCAATTTCCATCCTCCTAACCCAAAAGCGTGGTCCGATTTTTATGAAATATTGTATGTGGATACTAACCTAAGGTATCTCCATGGTAACTCCAAGAGCTTTTTTAGTTTAGATTTTTTCCACAATAAACATCAAATGAAAGGAAAATTTAATTTTTACAAAAACGGCCGGGAAAGTTTTGATTAAAATATAGTAGGCTATGTTAATCCTTTTAACTCTTAACAAAACGGTACAACTCCCATTGCAGTAAAAATTACGCCCCGAAAGCTATTGTAAATATTGTGATTTTCCCTATGAATAATATCATAGTTACTCACACCGCTTACCCATGATAAAGGTTGTTGTCAAGCTTATGGGAGAAAGTATGTGTCAGATTGCTTTTTACGTATATTTAATACTAAGACGAGACCAATCGTTCCATAGAGGTGGGAAGTGGCTAGAAACGTAGTGGATGAAGTCAAAATCACAATGTTGGTCTTCTGAGACCCTAGCTAACCCCCTACCCTAGCTAACTTAGCTGCAACTATAGCTTGACTTATGAACACCCTTTATATTTATATTTTACAAAAGTGATTCAGAGACTATAAATGGTACAACTAGTTCGCTTTACACTTTGACTTCCTGTACATCTGCAAGTTGAGCTTTGAGTTTACATTTAGATCTGCAATTTCAGATTCCACTGTCCATTATATGTCGCAAGATAGAAGTGAAGTATGGAGCCAGGTGGGGAAATATCATCGTATGGTCGTCTCTCATCGTAGGACAGCCGCTCTGCATCATGATGTACTACCACGACTATGTCATTACCCACTTCGGCAAAGCTCTCTTGGAGTCTTACGCAAAACTGTAATGTGAAACGGCTCACTTGTGTCAGCAATAAAACGGAAACCGTCTAACAGACCTGCGTTGGAAATAAGTTGTCAACACTCAAAGGTTTGAAAATGTCACGAAGGTAAGCGATAAGGGAAGAAGTGTTGGCATATTTTTTTTTTGTCTGTTGGCCGGTTTATCTTAGTTGCGATTAGATACACTATTTAGTTACCTGATTTAGTGCAATTTATGCAACGGTGTAGTTTTAATATATTAAAGTTTTGTAACGGTTTTGAAATTCCAGCCGCATCATTGGCTATCAACTCAAGACTGAAGACACATTCCAATATATATAAATATGTTTATGTATCCACAGAACGTAGTTTAGTGAGTTTTCAGCAATAAGTACGTTTTACGTGATGAAATCTTGCCATTGCTGGAAATTCAGGCTTTAAAATCTGTGATTTTCTCTTAGGATTCATGATCAAAAGTAGACATTCCTTTTGTGTACATTTTCCTCAACTCTTACATTCTATCACTTTTGTATGACATTTTTCATTTTAGAGTTTTTTTAGGTGTTAGTTTTAGATAAGGAAAGCAATTATGGAAACTGTAACTTATCATTCCAATAATGTACAAAGTTGTTGATGATTTATACTTTTATATATTTTGCACCTTTACATATTTTAGTGTACCTCATATATTGGTGTTTTTACCACATTTCTTATTTTAAATGTTAAGTGCCAAAGACCTAATGGATGTATATCAAAACGTCACTAGATCAAAAATCTCATATTTTTGTCATTTTGTAGATTGTTAATATTTTATAAAAGATATTTATATTCTTGTTAAAACATATTGTATGGTCACATATTTATATTTATTGTTAATATATTCAGACTGTAAATCAAAATAGTTGTGCTATGAATTTATTTTTTACCTAGTTGGGCAATCTCTTGCTTGGATTAGAAGAACTATATATTACCTGATCAAGCTATTTTTAAAACATATAAATTGGCTTTGATGTTTCGATCTTCAGTCGATTAATATAATAGCTTAATAAAGTTACACTACCGAGGGACCGAGCCGTGGCTCGGTTTAGTTTATTTGGATTGTAAAAGGAGTATAAAGGAAACTCACGTTTTATTTACAACTAATTTTGGCTTTTATTATTTAAGTTTCAGCGGAATTCATATTATTAAGATGGACATTTTAACCTGGCAATCCACAACACATTAATTTATTTTACAATCGGCGGTAAAAATCAATCGTTCATACTAGCCTCTACTTGCATAAACATTGTTTTAAAGTTTGTTTAAATTAAAACAGCTGACTGAAAATTGTTATTTACATTCGAATTTACGGTACATAAAATAAATGCAATATTTTAAAATATTTATTTCACTGTTAAACTAAAGTTTCCTAACAAAATTGCCTTAGTACTTGGGGTATTACGTTTTGGGAGGAAAGAGTCAAGTAAAATAATCAGTATTTGATTGGAACTATTTCCCCTATATATTGAGTAATCTTCAGTGTAATCTTTGCTCAATAGTTACAACTAATGTTTTCCCTTTGTACTGTATTTTGTTATTAGCTAGTATACTGTGGATAGCTTGTTATAAACAGATGTGACAAGTCTTATGTTTACTTTTTCCTTGTTATTTTGTTCAATCGACATAGTTACTTGGCAACCCTCAAGGCCAATGTTATATTTTTAAATTTTCAAATGAGTTGTGTAGCGAAATACAAATTTCCCCCAGGTAGTGGCTGTCACCAATAACGTTTTAGGGCCATAAGTCCCTGCTTCCAAAAATTGAGTTAAAATTCTTCTGCTGGATTTTGAGATATTACAGATAGAAAGACAGACAGACGAATATACATACCAATAAGCGTCTTCAATTATGTTCAATATTTGATCAAATAAATTCAATATTTTGTGGAGTGCTTTAATATTTATGAGATAATTATTTAAATCTATGAAAATTCAGTTTGATTGCTGTATAATTGCTCATTCAGTGTGTTCCAACCCAAATACGTATTTATTTATATTTATTAGTATAAGTTATAGATAACCTGAAAACTAATTTTTTAAATTTTTGGATTCAATTTGGTAAAAATGTGCATATCATACATTATTCTAAATATTAATTTATTTTTTTATCGTAAATATTATTATTGTCGGGACCACGTAAGTTTGCAGTTGGTGGCAGCCAATCACGAGACGAGGCTAGTGCAACATTGCCACATCGCCCAATGACAACACTAATTAATATATACAAAGCAATATTTTCAAATCAGCTGGTATTATTAGATTTGGCAACACCGCTCCGTTCTCATTGGTTCATTCAAAACCATATGGTAAATAGGCTCCTCCCTCAACTGCAAACTTATGTGGTCCCGACTCTACTGATTTACCAAATACTGAATTAATATAAAGGAAAATGATAATGGAAAAAATAAAATTATTCTAACTATTAATTTATTTTTTTATCGTACTTTTGACAAAAAAACTGAAACCTTGATGTTTTAGTGCAAGATGCTTTCATTCAGTTAAAAAACACTACAAGAAATAATAACTCAACTGTTGGGTCAAGTAAATTATATTTTGTAAATGAGAATCAAAATAGTGATATTATTTATGAAAGTAACATAGGCCAAAAACATTATTTTTTAGATTATTTCTAGAATGAAGCAATCAATCAATCCCAATAATTTCATGCCATAGTAGTAAAATGTGGCATTGAAATCCTTAACTACCTATCATTGATTAGAAATAGGTATGATTTTTGTTGTAGGTTTGATCTAAGTGCTAACTATAAGTCTGATATTTTGTACATGGATGAGGTTATACATTAAATAGTGTGTGTTTATACTTGAATAAACATAACATTGTTGATTTACAAAATATGTATTTCATTCTGCCTTTTCCCAGAATTTTATCTCTTTTCAGAACTTGGAAGATAGGAAGGTATAGAGGGTTTTACATAATATAAAAGGATCATCTTTCAATCCCATTTAAATTTCCAATAATGACACATATCCACGCACAAGCTTTGCATTTTGTGAGTAGACTTCTCATCCTATTTTATATTTTGTAATTTGTTTTGATTTGTATTTTATTACCTTTGCCACTTATTTATGTGCTAATTTACACTGCGTTATGTTTGTTATTTTATTTTAGGGTGAATATCACCAAAAACATTTTTATCTTTGGATGTATTACCAGAATATAGATACATCCAAGAATATAAGAGTAATTGTTAACAAAGACATTGTCCTATATAGACGTAACCATTGAACAGTTTTAAAGAAATACTTCATTTTGTTTGAGTTAAGCCTCCGAATCACTGATCAATACATGTACTGGTGAAATCAGGTAATTTCACCAGTACACGTAAAGAAATATTTAAAATATCAACTAATTCAAGTGTTGCCAGGTAAAAACTACCCATGTTTATTTGTTACCAAGGTATCCAATACATTAAGCTGATCCATGAAAATTATGAATCCATAAGAGAGTATCTTAAGCTCTGCTCCTGCTTCGACAGAAAGTACACAACAATCGTACTTTTTCACTGTGATATACAACAGTTTCTGAATATAATAAACTCTTCAAATTAAAAGTTAAGAAGATATATGTATGGCATTCAAAAATGTTTCTTAATTTCCTAAAAGTACCACTAAGTTTATAGTAACAGTTTGGGGAGATGATATTTTATTTTACAACAAGTTAGTGAAACTCTGAAGAGAAGCATTTGACAGAATGCCAGATGAAAAATCACCAAATTGTTTGATCTATTACTGTATCAACTAGTCTGTGAAAGCACGGATATTATTTTTGCAATTTTATTTATAATCTGTTCAGCTTATAAGCCAATTCGTTGTAAATGTTTCCTGAATCGCCCATGACCAGTTATCAGTTCAACAGTTAATTTAATTCTTTGTCTGTCTAGTCTCAAGAGGTCAGAGGCAACCTTTTTGGAAGGCCTAAACAGAGTCCTAAAAAGAGGAACGTCGACCCAGCGTTTGCGATGCTTTTCCTTGGCCCATGACACAATCGCAGAACATGCGCTGTTTCGTGAGATGCCACAGATGGGTTGGGCCTATCACAGTTGTTGCAGAGGCAGTGTTTGCCAATCTATCTGCAGCTTCATTACCTTTTATGCCTGAGTGTCCTGGCACCCAGCAAAGCGTAAGATCATTTCTCCTACCCAACTCAGATACAGAAGCAAGACAGTCCCACACGAGCCTAGAGTTGAATTCGTAAGAGTTTGACTATCAGTGTAGATATTGATTGTTTTGTCTCTGATCTTTTTGTTAAGATGTTCACGAGCACTCCACCAAGATGGCAGTGACCTCCGCTTGAAAAACAGTTGGGTACACCTCCATGGGAAGACAAATGCCAGTGCCTTCATTTATCCAATGCACACCTGCTCCAGTGTCCCCACCTGCTCCAGTGCTCCAGTGGGGGCACTGGAGCAGGTGTGCATTGGATAAATGAAGGCACCGGCATTTGTCTTCCCATGTGAGTGTACCCAACTGTTTTTCAAGCGGAGGTCACTGCCATCTTGGTTTGTGCTCATGAACATCTTAACAAAGACTACTTACGTGGTGTAGGGGTTACCGTGATCAAGTATACTATATATTAGTTTTAATAATAGAAAATGAGATATTCTCATCTGAAAAACAAGAACTTTGACCTCCTGTTGATATTTGTGGTGAAACTGTGATTTTGAGTCAAAGCTAGATAAGACTTGTAGATAACAACACAAGTCAGAAGTCCCAGTCTGTTATCATGCTGTCAAGCTACTTTACATTGTTTGGATTAGCTCTGATAACCATATTTCAGGTATGTAAAACCGCTTAAAGTTAATTTTTTATTTATTATTTTGGTAACTGTGATGAATAAGTATTTTTAAATCAATTGAACTTATGATAGATAATTGTTGCAACATTTTTTCATTTTTACACAGTGTAAGTGTATACATGTTGAAAGTGTTGTAAGACATATTTATTTTATTCCTATACAGCACCAATACATGTATCGGTGTAATGTAATGTCCAAGAAGTTATTTCATTGATTTAAAACTGTTCGTTTTCATTTTTCTTGTGGCAAACAGGAATTTTTGTTCCAAGTCATGGCTAAGAAATTGATTTAAAAAATATTATAGCCTACTATATAAAACATGAATGAATTCATATTTAGTAAATGTTTAGAGTCAATTTCAAAGATAATGTACTATTTTTGGGCTTTCAAATTAATGGTGTTGATGTTTGTACAAGTTTTCTGTAAACAATAATGAAGGTTCATTATCTCAACACTGGTAGTTCTTATTTGTGTAGGGATTAAAAGATGTCTTAGCTGTGTCCCCTCTTAGATAAGTCATTAACAAACCTTAACCATGTAATAATTATGTGTAAATAAAAATTTTTGCTTGTCACTCTTAAAATGTATTTATGTCCAAATAGTATATGTTTGAAAAACAATTAAATATCTATGCTAGTATGTTTCAAATTATGAGAAAAACATTTGTTTCACCTTTGTTCAAAAGAAAAATGCTTTCCCATTAAGCTCAAACAAATCTGAAAAGAAACTTAAGAAATTCAAATTTGTAATCCAAAAGTGCCAATAAAGTAAACAAAATGCAATGAGTTGTGTGTTAAATGATAAATGTTGTAAAACTGTGTATAACAAATTACAGTGTATTTGAATGTGTATTTGAGTTTAAAAAATACAACTTATTATCATAAACTTATTATAACTTATTGCCATAAGCTAAGAGGTTTGGGAACTAACAATTGTATTGGTATAGTTTATTATTACTTTTAAAATTATAAATTTTAGGATTTATTGGGTGCCTATCAATCATCTGCACTTAATTATAAATTTTTCAATCAGTAAATCTCAATGACAAAAGGACATATATATGACTGGTTATTTTTTATATGTAGATTTGGCTCAAAGTTAAAATATCTATTTGTGACTCCTCTTAGTATAAATATCTATCCGATTGGTGATTAAATTGGAAATTAGTCACCATTCAATATAACAACGTCTTCACCTAGGAATAAATATTCTCAAATATCTTATTGATGATTTCTTAGCACCATGGCTAGATTGGAGACAAATCCATCATTGAGTCTTATCTGTACAGCAAACCATGCATAACATTTTAATGACTGCATTTGACTTAATTACTTAATGGGATGATAGTCAACTGCCTAGTCCTATTCTTTTATTTATTTCCTGATCTCTTTTTCTATCCATCAAACAACCTTTAAGAAAAAAGGAAAATGCAGAGAAGATTGTGCACACAAAAATTTAAGCCGGTGAGCCATGGACGTAATTAATAAAAATATTAGTAAAATTGAAATTCAATCCATGAAAATGAGAAGATAATAGAAAACAGAGACAAAATCAGAAACATAACTATATGTTTATATATTGTTGAAACTACAAATAGGGAATGTCAAACAGAAACATTTTGAGAGTGTTAATTAACATTACTTTTAGTTGATGTTTATGTAATTTTTATAGGATACTTGCAGTGCAAAAGATACATACAGTGCAGTGGTTGTGGAATATTCTCCATCTCAAGACCCATCAATAGACCCAAGCACCAACATCCTCCTTAATGTTATGAACTATGGCCACATCACCAACATCGCTAATGAAAACTTCTTGGTAACACTATTTTTTAAAGTCAGGGACACAATAATGTTTAGCCTTTATGTATATTTGAAAATTATTCTTCTCATAACTTTTGATTTATCCACATGCTGCTTGTAAGTTGGTAAATGTTGTTTTAAGTCAATAAATACTACCAAAAGCCCTCTAAACTAATGAATTCAACATGTTGCAGGACACATAATCTAGGTAAATTTTCCCATTGTATCGACAATTGTTATTAAAATTATGTGTTTACTGTTGTTTGCATTAAATCCAGAAAATGTAAACATCATTAATTAATTTTCAATTGTTGATTCAAATATACAAATAAAAGATTCAATCTTGCTAAGATTAGATTTAAATTTTCACATATATTTAACTTAACTATGTAACTATGTTTTATTTTAACTATGTAACAGTAAAAATGCTTGAAAAATGAAAATATTGGTCTTCAAACAAAAATTTTTATTGTATTGCACAGGTAACTAAAGATTTTTTCTTGTAAAAAATAAAGGAAAAGGGAAACATTTTTATTGCTGTGAAAATTTGTTTGCAGGGTATGGTTTCCACATCAGTATAAACTCATTCATGTTTCGTTTCAATGTACTCTACTTTTTACAAAAGATGGACAATCAACATGGACCTATTTTCTAGGTAATTTGCCAATTTTCTGCTCAGGAGGGTGTGATTAAATATACCAAAGAAATCATCTTTTGTATATTTCATAAGATGTTGTGGTCTCAATTCCAACTCATTATTGTAGGTAATCCAAAATGCTCTAATTGATTGTTTTTTTCACCACTCAATGTGTTTATAACTTATGTTACAGCCAGATATTATTGTGTTCCCGGAGATTGGTTTAAAAGGTTATGGCAACCAAGAACAATACCTGTTTATTCCAGACCCTGATGACAAAGTGAGACCATGTGCTTACAACACTACTTATGAAGCTGTGAGTATACACTCATTTAAATAGGTACACAAAGTATTTTACAATAAATTGATGTTAAATGAATGTTTTAAACAGAATAGTTTGGAATAAAAATATTATTTTTTACAAATTGAAGAACAATGATGAGTATGCAGTTGATGTAAACAAAATTACAAAATGTTTTCATACAGGTTTTTACAGTTTTTCACAACTTTAAACAAAAAGAAATTATTATTGGTCAATTAGAAATTATTCAATTATTACATATGGTAGATTCATGATGGCTATAGTAAAGTGAAATTTAGCCTTTTTTCGGCTGGCCATCTTCAGAAGAGTAATGGATCACTACTATTCATACTAGGGTGTACCGTGTAATACTTTTTAATTTTCATAAAGAAATAGACCTTGCATTTGCCTGTCTACATGAGCCTCTGGCATATGCATGAAACTTACCAGGACAGCAAAGGGGGAGCCGGTGCATTACAATAAGTGAACTGTACTTATAGTTACATTGGCTACACCAGTGCACAAACCCACAACACTACCTTTGGATTTGTAGTTGGTCAAGCTAATACCAACTCAAAGCAGTAGTAATCTAGGAAGAGTGTTCCATTTCTGCTATAAAGATGGCAATCTGCAATGAATCTAAGCACGCCATGTTGATGATGACACGTTCTATCTTGAAGACAACGAAATGTAACATTTGTTTGAGAAAATCTCAATTATTTTACCTTGGAAGCCCAAATGCTGGGGTGTTTTCTTCCCCAAACATCACAACAAAAATTAAACTATTTCTAAATAAATAGATAAATTAAACCTATACATTACCCTGCAAGCCTGCGCAGAAACCCATCCCTCTTGCTCCAAAATCCAGGACGTTAACCACTGGGCTAACAACACACCCCACAGAGATGTTAGAGTTGTATACGTTTAAGAGCCTTGTTTTAGTAACCGAGTTAAAACAGTATTCCCCTTTGTTTTACAGCCATTAGTGCAGCTGTCTTGTATTGCTCGGGCCACGGAGACTTACCTGGTAGTCAACCTGGGAGAGAAATATTTCAACATCTCTCAGCAAAAAAACGTTTACTTCAACACTGACGTTGTGTTTGACTCGACTGGAACAATCATTGTGAGGTAAATGATATTTTATTTATTTACTCTACCCAAACTTTGAGGCAAATTAACTATGTAGCTTAACCGTTTACTCAGTGTAAATTTCTAGTTTTCTCAACTCTTTGATTGTGATATGTTCATAAGTTATTTCATTATTTGTTTTTGAGTTAAAGAGTGACTACAGATTTTGTATTATTAGTGGCAATCCTACTGCAAAGGAATTTTGAAATAACCTGAACTGCCACTCACTGTCGACTCACTATACACAGAGACCATCATTAGTCTGAGTGGCGATCAAAAGACAAGACAGAGAACTTTATGGTATAGTAGTGATTGCAGTGATGAAAATATTTTTAGCCTCAAACCTGTAATATTTGGCTCACTAGATAATAGCTATCCCAAACTCAGAGAAGCTATCACTACAATCCTGAGAAAAGTCAAAAGCTTTTTGATGGTTTGAAACTAGACACAGCTGGACTTGATCGTTATGCTTTAAATAACAGGTTGTGGCTAAAGAAACCAGGATTAGTTTGCTAAAAAAATTAGAAACAGCAGCATGGCTTGGACAGTAAAATCACCACATTGCATGCCTCATTTCATTCTACTCATATCCTCCACTCAGCAAATTCGGGCCATACAGCTCTTGAGCGGGAATGACGTACTTTGCGCTCCTGATACACAAATAGCTATAAAAGTTAATGGAATTAAATATTTATGTCAATATTATTATATTTTGCTAAGTATGTATTGCTAAGTATTGCAAGCTTATTATACTTTGGGGACACTCTGCAAATGTCTCAGATGCCCTGATTCTTAAAAAAAAATTAATTAGAACCATTTGTCAAGCCAGGCCTGGAGATCATAGTAGATGTCTTTTCAAACAATTGAAGATTCCTACAATTATTAACTTGTATATTTATCATGTATTAATATTCACAAAAACAAATCTAAATTCTTTTTTTATTAGACGTGAGGTACACAATCACAATACCAGGAATAAAAACAAACTTGAAATCCCGCAACATAGGTTAACAAAGTTTGGAAATTCTTACATGGTAAATTGTGTTAAATTTTTTAATAAGCTTCCCGATAATGCTCACACCACTCCTCTTAAAGGCTTCAAAACCAAGATGTATCAATGGCTTCTAGACAATCCATTCTTTACTATTAATGAGTTTATGGCCACCAACATAGATAATATATTTTAAGTTTTCAAATTAATGATAAGCATTAACTTTTGTTTGTTTGGATGAGGTTTACCAATTAATTTTATTAATTTAATGTTTATGAAGCTGTTGTTTGGGTACTAGGCTGGAGTTGCAACTTTGGTTTTAATTTAAATATATTTAGATATTATTGATGATTATTATCAATATTGTTGATATTATTTGATGTTATTGACTGTATATATTTATGTTGACCATGCCCATCTCATGTAAAAATGATCAACGGCAATAAATATCTTATGTCTTATGTCTTAACCAATATAAACATATTTTTGTTGTAGGTACAGAAAAATCCATTTGTATGGAGAAACAGGAAAGAGCCCTTCACCAAACAAAGAACTTGCATACTTTGATACAAATTTTGGAGTCAGGTTTGGGATATTCACTTGCTTTGACATAATATTTGAAGACCCTGGAGTTATTTTGGCCAATGAGTTCAACATTACTCATTTCATATTTCCTACGGCTTGGTTTTCTGAGATGCCTTTTCTTACAGGTATGAAATGAATTCACAATTTTTTAATTTTTAACATTTTGTTATTTCTGTTAATTGAATAAAGCTGTTTCGCCTTTTGGGTTTATTGCTGAAAACTTTTACTCATAATTACCTTTGAGCCTCCAAGGCTCATATATTGGTAAAAAAGAGTTACACAGCCAAACTTTAACTTACAACTATAACAAACTATGTAAGGAACTATGCAAAACTGTTTCAAATTGTATTTAACCTGAGAGTCAATATGAGGACTTTTAACTTCAGGCTTTTGTCGACCACAGTACTCTTAGTTCAGCTAACCACAAGCGGTCTGACTGAGTCTTCTTTGTACAAGAAACAAATAGTAAACAACAATCAGTCCTGTACATAAACCAGTTGGACCTAACCTTAAACTTTCTTCAGCTGACCCATACAGACCTATAATCTAGTTGTACCTTCCAGCCATTCAGGAGCAGTTTTACTGGTCATACTCTCAAGACGTGGTGTTACTGGCCTCTGGTTACAATGATCCGTCGGTTGGCAGCTCTGGTACCGGAATCTACCTTGGACGTCGTGGCCCAGTAGCCTACAACATGTCAGAGGCCAGACAAACATTTATGCTACAAGCCGACGTACCTAAGAAACTCCGATCAGGTCAGTTGTATTTTAATGGCTCTAATTTTTCAAACTAAAATTAATGACTAGTCTCAATTTTGACTATCCGATCTTCGGCTATCCCACTTTCTGTGTTTTCCAACCCTCTTTATGGATGATAGATTACCGTAAGATTGCACGGTATATCTGTGTGGTTATACTGTACACTGTTGAGACCACCCCTTTCACCACCTCTTACTGTATAGTAATTGGATTGGCTTAAAACACATGAACTTGATTGTAATTTTCCCTGAATATCTTGCATTACATGCCACCATGTTTCTCGTCCACCCCTCACATATTAGTATCATGCAGTTGATATTAAGGCCAAATGAACGTTAATTGCTTTATGTATTTTACTATAGCAGTAATCGTGATTGTAGTTTGTTCTAGAGGTGATAGCTGCAAAAACTTGTTCAGTTTAGTCATTGACTAAAAGTCAATGGTTTATTTTGTACTTATTACATAACATTTGCATGATTATAAACGTTTGATTAGGAACAGTTTCAATTTGAATAAATATAGTTTAAACATTTTACAGATATTTCAATTACTATCCAACCTTGACGAGGCAAGTTTAGGTAAAAAAAATTAAAACAGTACTCAATTGCACTTTCGTTCTAAAAAACTTTTTGTAAAATTCTCCTACAGTTTTTAGTAGATGATTAAAATTGGTATTAGAATAATATGTCTTTGAGTAAACTATCAACGATCTGGCCTCATTTACAGTCTTAGCATTGAAAGATATTAATTTGGTAATACTGACAATGTGTTTTAAGCGATGAGTAGGGGATGAAAGTGCAGTTGTGCAGCTTAATACATTTCTGACAAAGCAAGTTTATGTCACAGATTATGATCCTAAATTAAAAGTTTAAAGTCTAACTGTGTATATCTTTCATTTTTAGTCCATAATTCTGGAAGTACGAAAATACAAATTTATATTAAAAATGTTTTCAGGACTAGGCACTGAAGAAGGCAAGGAATTATTATCCGAAATATTAATTCTGGATGATGAAATGGAAGAAACCAAGTCAACATTTCAGGATACACCTGAAAACACTAATAAAATAAAACTAAAACTAGAAAAAGCTCTGAAAATGTATACAAACAAAAGTATAATTCCTCCTGAATCACCAATTCACATTATTGATGGGAGGAGTTTCTATGTTGACTTTACAGTTAATGAGAATATCTGCCAAAACAGCTTGTGTTGTGTATTCGACCTAGCTATCAGAGCGGTTTTTAGTAAATCCCACCAAGAAACCACAAGAGGTGATGATTATTCACAGATGTTTTATCGTCTGGCGGTGTTTGATGGGGTGCGAGACTATGATAGAGTTGATTATGGTGGGGTACAAGTTTGTGCGATCATTCCATGTGCCAACTCTGACCACTCCTCTTGTGGTTTAAGGTCAGACGATGTATCAGCCAAGCCTAATATGTTGCTTGGGTTTTACCAAACCGGTTTTGTTTTTCACTCAATTACAATCAGAGGGGATTTTTCAACCAACCACTCCTTTGTGGGCCCAAACATTCTATTGACTGGTCAAGGAGAAAACTTTGGTTCCCTCTTGCCTTCTGAAAGTTTCAAATTCTACGAAGCACATCCCTCAAGAAACGGTACACAAGTAAGATCATTTAAGACTTTGGAACCCATTTCTAATCTCGTGACCGCTAGTTTGTACGGAAGAATTTTCTCAAGGGATGGAGAAACGGATCAAACAGTTCAGTCACGTGCATTCAGTAGTTTGATTTGTTTAACTTCATCACTAATTATTTGTTTTACGTCAGTTGTACTAGTTTGTAACTGATGGCTAAGTTGGTTTTTACCGCTATTCAATTTTTTTGTAAGTTGCTAATTGAATCTAATTTTGAAATAACCGAATTAATTGTTGGATACCTACACATTTAACGAATTTATAGAGTTTTTTTAGACTAGACACTCTTTATGTGTTTATTATGATTATGTGAGAGCAGAAACTATTATATCTTTTAATGTATGTATGTAACTTTTTCTTAAGTCACTACTTTTAGATAAAAAATGTGTTAGAATATAAACACATTGAATATGCAATATATAGCACATAGTAACTAAAACTTTGAATAAACAAACTATTTTCTACGCAAATTGTCTTGTATGATTTATTTTAAAATCATTAGTTTACCTGTTGTTATTATTGGTCTAATGGTTTATTAGTACAGACAAAATAGAAGATACTTAACCTCCAAACCAACATACACATATAGTATAGTATTGAAAAAATGTGGAATTTACCAATTATATAACCTCCTACATAGTTTTAAAGATTTATAAATGTTTGGGTTAAGTTATTTAGATTGATTTTCCTTAAAAGAAATGTGTAGTGAAGTTATCAAAATCCTATATGCAGTAAAACCTCACTAACTCGACACCCGGTTACTCGACAGCTGGTAACTCGACACCCGGTAACTCGACAGTCCTTTTAACTTGACAGTCAACAGCAGACAGTGGGCATGTCTAGCTGGCTTTGCTTACTATTAGGCCTCATGTACGATATGAGCGGAAAGCGGTAACCTGAGCGGCACGTAAGCGGCGGTGGTGGACGATACAAAGCGGCACATTTATAACGCTTATCAAATTTCCCCATTTTTATGAGTCAGTTTAGTCAAAAATAGTAAATTATGCTTATCTGCAAGATTTACAACAATAGTTTGTTGCTATCTGACAATTGTTTGCCTTTAAATAAAAACTTAGTTTTTAATAAAACCTTAACCCTTACTTGGTCCCATACTTTTCTGGTGACTGAAGTGTTTGAAAACTTCTGTGCTGGTCATTCCACAAACATTCCCTGGACTGCATCTCACATATCGACCCGTACCGCATGTTTACTGCTGTTTCCCTGTCATTTTAGGTCAAACTGAAGCATGACTCACCTGAGCGGCGTTTTTGCAAAAATCGGTTTTGACTTGGAAGCTCTTGCCACTCACCGCTTGTATCGTACCCTGGGCCTTTTTGTTGTGTACAACTTTTCAAGTTTTATTTGTTGAATATTCTACATTCCTTCGATGATTGTTTAGTCAATATGTAAAAATACTCATGTTATTAATACATTTATGGGTAATAATTAGTCTGATGTTCTGTATTCATTTATTAAAACTAAAACCCATTAAAAACTTCAATCTTCTAGATAACTCGACAACCCCCAATCTCAACAATCTCTGGGTCCTCAAATTGTTGAGTTGAGGTTTTACTGTACTGACTTAATCCTCCTAATAGTGTCTTCAAAATCTATTTTAGAGGCTGGTCGAGGAATATATAAATTTACAAATAAAAAAATGCTAGGCATTAACATTTTTGCAAATTTTGATTAATTTCGGGTTTTGTGGCTTACGTATTATCATTGTCTATACAGGGTTGGGCAAATGTTTGGATACCCCTAGTTAACTTTTTAATGGGTAACACCTAACACCAGGAAAACTAAACTCCACATACCTTCATAAAAAATAAAACTGAACTTTTTGGACAGTATCCCAATTTTTCCCGGGACCCCAAAATGGGGCATTTTAGGGGTACGGTAGCTCCAAAATTTTAAATGTAAAGCCCCATCGAGTGACACCTCATTTTAAATGTCTTTATTAAAGAAGAATATCAGCGAAAACTAGAGGTCTCTATCTCAACCCAGTACGACATGGCGGTAATTTTAAATTTTCATTAGCCTGAGAGAACCCACTTACTGTAGGTGCAAAAATTATGTAGACTCGAGTTTACGATATCACACCTCCGAAACGGCTTGTTCGATTTTGACGAGATACCTATCAAATTAAAGCAAATATTGTCAAATTTTATATTCCAGCGATTTTTGACATTTTACTTTACTTTATACCGGGTGTTTCAAAATGACTCACCCGGTTTTAACGCTTTATAACTTTTATACTATTAAACTTACCGCTATAAAATACACATCAAACGAAAAAGCAACTCAAAGAGTTTATGCCTACCAAAGACACATTATTTAATAAAATCGATCCAGCAGAACTGTAGATTTAATTGTACAAAGTTAAAAAGTAATCTCCAACTTTTTTTAACACTAGAAATTTGGAGGTTACTTGACGTTTTTGCAAATAACTTTTAAATGGTGAGGAAATCGACCAAAGTGGAAGGTAATATTCCGAAAGAGAATAAAATTTCCTACAATCTACAATTATCCATTTCTTTAAAATACTTAATAAATGTAGCCTAAATTTGCCTTAAAATAAAAAAGTGTGAAATTTAATGTTTGGTAATGACATTTTCCAACTATGTCTATTGTCTACATTGAAGACAGGGATTTTCAATTTTTTTTTCATTTTTAAGCAATTTTTGGTACCTTTCTTGAGTATTTTCAAAAAATGCATAATAGTAGATTGTAGGAAATGTTATTCTCTTTCGGAATATTACCTTCCACTTTGGTCGATTTCCTCACCATTTAAAAGTTATTTGCAAAAACGTCAAGTAACCTACAAATTTCTAGTGTTAAAAAAAGTTGGAGATTACTTTTTTACTTTGTACAATTAAATCTACAGTTCTGCTGGATCGATTTTATTAATTAATGTGTCTTTGGTAGGCATAAACTCTTTGAGTTGCTTTTTCGTTTGATGCGTATTTTATAGCGGTAAGTTTAATAGTATAAAAGTTATAAAGCGTTGAAACCGGGTGAGTCATTTTGAAACACCCCGTATAATTAATATAGCGAAAAGAGTGAAAAAATTGTGGGTTTTTCACCATTGTCGATGAAATCTCAACTTCGGAAAATTATTACCAAATAACTATTTACCGTATGAGCTTCAAATTTTAATGGTAGATATTAGGGTTGTTTATAAACATTTTTGTCAAGTTTCATAATTTTAACATTATTATTATTTATGTTCTTGTAAACTTTGTAAACCCTTCTTAACTTTGTTAACTTGGGCCGAAAATTCCCGTTCAAAGAACCGTTGTAACTATTAATTGTTCGTATGAACAAAAAATATAGTGTGTAAATGATAAAAATTAACAGTGATCTATAATGAGTTTATATTTGTTACATGTTTTTATTCCCGCGCACGGGGGTTGATTTGTCTGAATTTCGCTGCGGAAGGCTCGTTTTCTCCCTGGCGAGGAATGCGGTGTAAATGTAGTAAATGTAGGCATCAATATCCCATATTAACTTTTTAGCGGGTTATACCAGGAAAACTAAACTCTGCGTACCTTCATAAGAAACAAAAATGCACTTTTTGGTCGGTATCACAATTTTGCCCACGACCCCGAAATGGGGTATTTTGGGGGCAGCTCAACAATTTTAAATGTAAAGCCCCATCGAGTGACAACTCATTTTAAAGGCCTTTATTGTAGAAGAATATTTGCGAAAACTAGAGGTCTCTATCTCAACCCAGTACGACATGGCGGTCATTTTAAATTTTCATCAGTCTGAGAGAAACTTTTAATGCGGTTAAATTGTACGATGAATTTTCAAATGACCGCCATGTCGTACTGGGTTGAGATAGAGACCTCTAGTTTTCTCTGATATTCTTCTTTAATAAAGACATTTAAAATGAGGTGTCACTCGATGGGGCTTTACATTTAAAATTTTGGAGCTACCCCCAAAATACCCCATTTTGGGGTCCCGGGGAAAATTGGGATACCGTCCAAAAAGTGCAGTTTTATTTTTTATAAAGGTATGTGGAGTTTAGTTTTCCTGGTGTCACCCATTAAAAAGTTAACTAGGGGTATCCACACATTTGCCCAACTCTGTATGTATACCTACAGTACCTGTAGGTATATATAGTCAATGATATTATCAAGAGAAAAATTATTAAATTAAAAAAAAAATTATATTACTGAAAATTTAAATTTAAAAGGGGGGCTAATAATGAATATGATATACATAATACTTTTTATTTACATAGCTATAAATAATATTCACAGCCAAAGTAGCATTTTAAATAAGTTATAGATTTTATAAAAAAATCTAAGCTGGCATAATATAAAACTGCAGTTTAAATGGTAGGCTAGCCAAAATCAATGTTTAAAAATACTCAAATTATACATACAAGGCATAGTAGATTCACACTTCTTACATATGAAAAATTCTATATACAAAATACACACTGTCTTTTCACTAAATGCATGATTAAGTCCTTAGACCCTTGTTTAAGAGTCAGGTCACGTTTCTCATAAGTCCGCAGATATAACTGTAGACGAAACTTGGTCCTGAGCAGAGGGGGAGGTAATAGGGGTGGGAACCAGTGGTGGAGGGGAGGGCGGAATGTAATTGGTTGATTTCAAACTGGTGTGTGTAGTGGTGGGATACATCATTCTGTTCCACAGTTTCACCATGTGTTGGACTATACTGTTTATGAATCCTGAAACAAAAGTACAATTTTAAAATAAATTACTTACTCCAGCTACAGCAAACCTGCAGATTAAGCGGATTTCCATTTACCTGGTTATATTTTCTCTAAATTATACTCTTAGATTGTCAGATTATATTCCTATTACAATAACATTAGGGTTTAGTGAGTATACTCATAAAAACCCCCCGTAGGTTTGCTGCTTCAGGAAAGTAATTTATTTTTTTAGTAAATTGTAATAGCTTAGTATGAAATAAATCAACTTGCCAAATTTGATTAAAATATATCCATATGCAAGCAAACTACGACAGTTTTTATCCCCCAAAAGAATAACATATGGGAATATAAGTTTACAGTTTATTGGAATTTTCTACATAACTTAAAAGCGCCGACCTATAATGACATTTAAATTTACCAAATTGCTATTTGAGGGTGAAAATGGAAAAACCAATTTTCACACCATAAAACCCTGTTTTCATACTCTGATCATGATGGTTTGCGAACTGGTTCAAGTAAACATAGGTCTACACGTCTATACCAAAATTTTATCAAAATCGTCGGATGATTTTCATTCAATTGCATTCAGTTATATTCAATTTTCATTCATGCCAACATTCAAGTTATCATGCCAACGGACATATAAATGTAAGCCTACAAATAAAGCCTAAATATGAATGGGTAGTATTATTTGCCTCTGAGGACCTCAAAATGAAAAGGTGAAACAGCCCTGAGTCTATTTGCCTATCCAAAACAAATTTTCTACAACCCCAAACAAAGGAAGTTCTTGTTCAGGACCACTAATATTTTTTTTACCACAAGAAATAATCAAACAATCAAAATTAAGTACCGGGAGAGCTCGTATTTAATTAAATACACAAAATAAACCAAACTTAACACAACTACAACTATTCTTGAAAACATTTAGTCCTAACTAACCTGTATGGTAATTTTTCTTTACTCGTCAATTCAAATGATGACTGGGCGGAAACTGGAGTTTTTCCAGCATTGTGACCAAATCCAATCGACTTCTTGTGGCCAAATAACCCATATTAAACAATAAAATAAAAAATCCTCAGACGAAAGAAAACTTTGCTTGTACACACGCTTGTTTTAGAGTATAGGATTGTTTAAACAGCTGACTTTTCAATAAATTGTACAAACATGTTATGAAAACTTGAAAGAGAAGAACTCGTTAGTATTGCAAGACAAGGGTGCATAAGTCCCACATAGCACCGAATATTTATTTGATATCAAATAGCTATCAAATTTTTGACATTTGA